GCACAAACATACACACTGAAATACTTTGAACAACTGGGATCTTAAGACAGGTTGCTTGCCAGGGAGAGAGTTATAAGATCAGGTGGAGAGAGGAGGATGGTTTCTAGGAGCCCCGAGTCCTTGGCAGAGGCTTAGAAACGTCCAGGGTGGGAGAGCAGCCCTGTGTGCCTGAATGGCGCCATGGGGTGAAGGGCCGCGCCAGCTGTGTGTAGGGCGTTCGGGGCCGAGCCTTGGAGTATCTCCTCCTCTGTTCTGCGTGACAGACTGGCTCGGTTTCTGAACGCTAACTTGGATACTTATTTATGTGACGGGCCACATAAACCGTGGATTGAAAGTGGGGGTGGATGGAAAGATTGAGCTCTCTGTGCTTCTCTGCCAGTGAATGGTGGGTGGAGTGTTGAAGTCTCATTACCTAAATGACATGCTGTAGCGTTCGTTCCAGGATGATCTGAGACTGGGATCCTATCCTCCAGTAAAACTTAGGGACCAGTGGCTTTACCAGACGAGCCCTCACTGGAGAATATGACAGGTAAGCAGCAGGGCAGCTTAAAAGATGCCAAATGGGGTAAAACCTTACGTATGACTGAGTTCCTCATAAGGATAAACACTCAAGATAAAGTATACAGCTGTGGATGGCTTTGATCACTTTGTCTTTGTCATGTCCAGCCTGACTATTGCGGAGTATAAAAGTGGATGTTTTTGTTCTGAGAAATCCAAATGCATGTTGTCAGCAGAAACCTGCCTTATTTTTCTGGGCTTTTGATGAATTAAGAAGCTTATAATTTACTTTATAATCAAAGTCCAAAGGTCAAGAAAAAAATCAAAGATCGAGGTGCAGGTTATGTTTTGTGGTTGGTCCCTTGATGGAGATGCTGCGTTATGATCAGGGAACCCTGAGACATGGTCATTTGGGCAATATCTTAGGAGTGTGTCCTCAGCGGGCATGGTTTTGGGGGTGTGGCCTCAGGGGGCATGGTCTTGGGGGTGTGGCCTTAGGGGGCATGGTCTTAGGGGTGTGGCCTCAGGGGGCATGGTCTTGGGGGTGTGGCCTTAGGGGGCATGGTCTGGGGGGGTCATCTTAAGGGGCATATGGTCATGGGGTGCCGCATTCAGAATGCATGCCAGTCCTACTGTACTACGGTGTACTGTGGTGACAAATATCTTTGTCGGTATTTTATTTTTACTGCCACCGCAAGACATGAAAGCATAATGCAATGAAGAAGGTGCTTTACAATGAAGTAAAAAGCATGTCACACTTCAGGTTGGTGTGATTAAGTGGCAGCGAGGAGAGCCCTGACTAGACTGCAGGTGATTTTACATTATCTGCATTGCGGTTCTGGTTATTTTGACACTGATATGAAAATGCATCCTTAGAAGAATGGACAGTTTCCAAATGAAGAGAAGACGGTAGATTCTGCTGGCTGTTCTCAGAGCAGCATAAAGTGGGCTTAGCTCTCCACAGTGTCTGACCCGGTGCTGTTCGACTTAGGGCCCGATCGGCGTGGTGTCTGACCTGGTGCTGCCCATCTTAGGGCCCGATCGCCATGGTGTCTGACCCGGTGCTGCCGGTCTTAGGGCCCGATCACCGTGGTGTCTGATCCGGTGCTGCCCGTCTTAGGGCCCGATCGCCGTGGTGTCTGAGCCGGTGCTGCCGGTCTTAGGGCCCGATCGCCGTGGTGTCTGATCCAGTGCTGCCACAGCTTAATTCACAGATGAAAAAGTTTAGACGGATTAATAAGGCAGTAAAAGTTTGAGCTGCGATGTAAACACCCCAAACTGTCTGGCTGCAGAATTAACTCGCAGGATTTGCTTAATTACAACAGCCTTGTTGAATTCCCAGTCTGACTGTGAAGCTGCTATGAAACTGTCCAGCTGATTGCACAACACTGCGGTTTAAATGGTATGTTTTGGTCAGCATTAACAGATACTGCGATGGATTATGTGTTAGTTTTACCCCGCAGCACTGCACTCATTGTGCTCACTGCACTTATTGCGGCCATTGCATGCTCTGCATTCACTGCGCTCACTGCATCCACTGGCCCAGTGGCTCCTGAGGCCAAAACCTGTGTTTAACAGGGTTTATTTACCATATTGGATTAGTGTGTTTTTTTTTTTTCTTTCAGATTTAAAGCAGTGTGACGTTTATGCATTCTGATTTATTTTTGAGATATTTTCATTTATCCATATCATCAGTAATGCACTAAGCTCAGAGGGTGCTGGGAGGCGGGGCTAACTTACGGGAGGCTGTCTTACGGGGATCATGTACTTCAGAATGCAATGATGGTGACAGGCCGCCCCCTTCCTGAGGGGGAACCTGATTGCCGATGAGATATTTTTGTCTGTGATGCCCTTAGGGTTACCCCTCAGCTTTGAGTCAACACCTGTGCTTCTTCCTTCATAATATGACAGAGGAGACAGAGTGCTCAAACTTTCGGTCTAAAAGCAGTAACACGGTAGAGATGAAACGCCACGCACAAGAATGCAACTTCCACTCATCAGATTGTTCATTTGCTCCAGTAGTACGGAGTACCGCAGCAAATTTTCTGGAGTGTTCTTTCTTTGGAAGCTGTTGTTATCCTCTTAATACCATAGGTAGGTATCCAAGGAAATGTTAGCGGTTTTGTGTAAATTTGGAACAATTTTACATGAATGCCAACCAAGCGATATCACCATGTTACAAATTATACATACACTACACAGAAAAATATTAAAATGGTAGTCTTCAGGTGAAATGTTGTAACATGTATTTTTAGCCATTTTGTTCTTACAAGAATCTCATTTAAACACAACCTTCACCTGGTCTGAAGATGGATGAATGAATCGATGGGGGAACAATCCCATCTAGAAAGGCTGAGGTGGTCCTGCTCAGTGTGGTTGGCGCCTCCTAGTGGTATTAACAGAACTAACCGTGGTCAGAAGGACCCGGCCAGCGATCACGTCACTGCAGCCTGTGTGACACGCGCTGTCCTTCTACAGCACAAAGCCACTGGTATTTTTATACACTGCCATCAGTGCTGGGAGGGGACAGTGTCGCTTTTTAAAGGAGGATGACGCACAACATGTGGCACCGCAGGTCAGGATGCCGTTTCTGTGATCGGAAGGTCGCTAGTTCAGACCCCAGTCATCAGAGTGATTGCCCTGTTGGCCCTCGAAAAGGCTCTTAACCCCCAATTGCTCCAGTAACTGACTGCATTAAAAAAGTTTCCGCAGAATAAATAAATAAAATGTAAAATCATTCCTAAAGATTTCATTTGATAGTTCATTAGCCATAACTCGTAACCAACCATTAGTGAGATGATTTTTACTTAAATGTTGAACTCATAATTTATGCTGGAAAAAAAGCTAAAGTGGATGGCATGAATCTCAGTGGGCAGAGCTGACGCCTCTCCACGCCAGGCTGGGAGGGCAATGCCTGTCCCTGTGCTGTGCCTGTGGAGTTTGCATTTTGTCCCTGTGTTGTGTGAATTTTCAGGTACTCTGGTTTCCAACTGCTCCAAAGAAATGCAATCTTGCATAAATATCTGGTTATGTAAATAAAAAATTGGTTGGAAGATGGACGGATTAAAACTGAAATAATATTTTTGCACATTTGAATGTGGAATTTTATGAAAGAAGCTCATCGTAAG